AAAAAAAACAGAAAAGTGAAAAGAACACAAAAAAATAAGAAGAGATTTTCACAAAAGTTGCTCCACACCAATGCTTTATGGATTCAATTCACACTGAGCGTCTAAAATTTTTTGCACAAAGTTCAATTTACTTTCTTATAAATTTTCCAAAAAGTTATTACAGGCACTCATGTATTAAAAAAGCTCAGGAGAATACAGAGAATGAAAAGAGTGTCGAGGAAGAAAGCAAAGAAAGACCATAATATGGGATGCTTCTGGCAGCTCCTGTTATGACCGTCTATGATTTCTTATGCTAAACCTGCTTTCACTTTAGTTTGGTTGAGTAACTCCTGAGTCCTTGAAACTTGCTACAAACTGAGACTAATTTGTCCTTTCCTCTATACTATGCCCTCCTATTTAAGGTCTCAGTTTTAGCCTGGAGTGCCTAGCATTTCACCTGTGATAAATACAGTATTTGCTGACAAAGTTTTGAATAAAAATATTTCCTTACTCTTCAACCATTTGCATAAACAAACCTTCTCAAAATGTATGAGGAGATTATAGGGATAATATTCCATATAGTCATGATTGGGAAAAGAACAGCTTAATTGTCTCTCTTTACATATGAGCCAGAAAGGAAAAATCAGTTCTTTTTTTTATTTATTTTATTTATTTTTCGACAGGCAGAGTGGACAGTGAGAGAGAGAGACAGAGAGAAAGGTCTTCCTTTGCCGTTGGTTCACTCTCCAATGGCCGCCGCACCGCACTGATCTGAAGGCAGGAGCCAGGTACTTATCCTGGTCTCCCATGGGGTGCAAGGCCAAGGGACTTGGGCCATCCTCCACTGCACTCCCTGGCCACAGCAGAGAGCTGGCCTGGAAGAGGGGCAACCGGGACAGAATCCAGCGCCCCGACCGGGACTAGAACCTGGTGTGCCGGCGCCGCAAGGCGGAGGATTAGCCTAGTGAGCCACGGCACCGGCTGGGATGTTTTTATTTTGTGGAATATCTTAATACAAAATATTTTCTTTCAGTAATTGTCACATATCCTTTTTGCATATACTGATCATTTTTCCCTATAATTTATAGAATTCACATACAGATAAATCTCAGTTTTAAGAGCAATTTATGTTGAAGACAAATCCATGATAATTCATTTCAAAATAATTTTTCATCTTATAAAAAAGAAAAGCCAGAGAATTTAAGCCCAAAATGTCACAATTAACATGTAACTCAATATACAAAAAAGTGATTTACATTCTAGAATACCTAACACATAACACAATAGTTGCCACTATTTTATGAAAACTGTATATGAAACTGTAAAGCTTCATCATTTTTAGTTCAAATATAGCTGGTATTACAAAATGCTTAAGTCTTAGAAGCTCAGAAAGATCATGAAACTCAAATAAAAATGCTTCAAAATATAATTACTTTATAAACTATGGTCACTAAATGACCAGATACAGGGCTCAAATAACAACCACATAATAAACCCTATGTTTGGCTAAAAAATAGACAGCAAAATGACTATATAAACATTGCTAAATAGCAACTTGAAGAGTCACCTAGAACACACTCCTAGTCCCAGTTCAATTCCACTTGAACAGATCAATTCCTCCAAAACACACAAACACCAAAAAATCAATAGAACTCATTTCTCTTTCCCATATTTTTGTCTTCTAATTTAAAATCCAGTGGAAATAAACGCAAGTTAAAATGCTCTTTCTCTATGGAATATAATTTTTAATTTAAGAAGAGTTTGCTGTCATGTAAAAATATGTAACCTGAAGACTATTTTTTACTTTAACTAAAGGCTTCTCCCACTTAAAATAAAGAGTTGAGGGGGAAGTACAGTATTTTAACTACAGGAAGAGTTCTCAAAGTTTGGTCCAGTAATTTTTACCTAGGATCTATCTAAGACATCTATAAGGTCAAAACTATTTCAATACTACTAACATGTTTCATGGCTTGTCAACTCTCATTCTCTGAGAATAAGTATATTTTTTCAAAGACTGTATGACCTTTGTTAAATATCATCAATCTGGTCACTAATGGAACGTGACCCTATATATTTAAAACTTCTCATTTTTAATTTCAAATGAAAAAAAATCAACAGATGTAATAGCAGATATAAAACTCTTTGGAGTCACCAGTAACTCTGAAGAGAATAAATGAGTCCATAGACCACAGTTTGAGAACTACTTAACTGAAGAAAATCTGATCTCAAATAACTGCTTTTAATTCAGGATTGTAGGATCCTGTGCCATGCTTCTTCCGTCTACTAATTTATCTTTCACAGTTTAAATATATGAATCTCCATCTACTCTAATTTTTACACTTTTAAATCTAAATAAGCTATGATGAACACTAATCACTTCTAAAACAGTTGTTTTAAATAAATTTGAAGCAGCCAAAATTTCTAAAAATATTTCTTTTACCTTATGCATTTCTTTTTTTGGCTGCAAAATCAATTGATGTCTTTAAGACTTTCTTTATGTTTTCATTGAATATTTTCTTACATTTCACTAAATTGCTTTTCTTCAAGACCAGTATTCCAGAAAAACTATTTTAACTTTCACTATTGATTTTGCTTCAGTATTTAATTTTTATTTCAATTACTGATTTTATTTTAGTAACTGTGTTTCAATGGTGTCAGCTGTTATTTCATTTTAATATTCAGTGGTTCAACCTATGGCGTTCATTCAACATTTATGAGCTAACCAAAGAATATAATTACCACTTGTAATTATTCTCAGGATAAAATTTTTGAACTCTAATCAAATTCATAAAGAAACTTCAGGAATATAATCACTTTTTTAGTGGAGATTTCCTCTACTTAATTGACTCTAAGCTTAGCCAAAGAAATAAATACACATTTCTGCTTTAATTTTGGCCTCTTGGTTGCCAAGAACATAAATCAACTCAAATGAACTCCAGAGAATCTTAGAATTACTAACACAAGAATGAAAAAGTCTAGGCACCAACAGAGCTCTCACACACTCTACCTTACTATCTCTACCTCTCACAATCTATATTCTTTTTCTGTTACCTCATATTTCAGTCTTACACATACTGCATTAAAAACTATTTACCTCCCTACGGGAAGATAAACTTCTTCCTGATCCTTTTCTATAAGAATAAATTTTTCCCTTAGATGCACTTTTCTAATGTACTCATATGGCTACAATAAAAACTTTTCTAATAGGAACTGATTCAGTTTCTCCATTTCTGATTCCCAAAAATCTGATGAGTTCTTGGGAAATGTAAACTTGTTAAGCTTCCATTTCCTCACCTAAACAAGTGAGGAGGTAAGACCTACCTCGTAAAGCTATCATAAATCAGCAAGTTTTAAATGATAAGCCCGGTAGAAGAGCAGAATTTGGAAGAGGAAGAAGTGAGTATGAATGGCATACGCAGAAAACCACATGTGGACCTAACACAAAGCAGGTTTCTAAGGGCACAGAGTGAGGCTTGCTAAGCAGAAGGCAGGTCAAGAGGAGCACTGACAACTATGCTGAGTGTAAGGGTCTCCACCCTGTTTGAGAGGAAAATCCACTGAAGGGTTTTACCAAAGATTAAGAGAAGGGGGTAGATAGGATTACAAGTTCAGTCCAATTGAGTTTTGGGCACGCTCAGTTTGAATTGAAAATAAAGGTTAAACCTAAAAAGAAAAAATCAGAACTCTAGCACTCCTTAGGTGGTCCTTGCAAATTGTTTTGACGAATCTCAACAGAAATATCCATCTACCATCTGTTGTATCTCTCTGGTTCTGAAAACAACATCCCATAAAATAGTATTCACTCTTTTTGTGTAATACATTCTCAACATATGCACTCCTTTAAAAAAATGCAAGTTTGGAATTCAATAAATTTATATCAAATCCCATTACTAAGGCCATTACCTGAAGAATGGTTTCAGGTTCTGTTAAGGTAACCTGAGTAGACTCTAAAATCAAGGGTTGTTTCAAATGAAATTTAATCCTCAATTGTTTACATGGTGGGAGAACCCATGAATCTGTGTATTTTACTTTGAGGGTAAATTTTTATTCATTTTCTTAAAAACAAAATGTGAGGGTACCTCAAAAGTTCATGGAAAACGGAAACGAGAGATAACTTTATCTTAGTACAAAAACGTTCAAATCCATACATAGTTTCTTTCCATGAACTTTGGAAGATCACTCACCCATATATTTATTGATGTTACCATTCTCTGAGTCTGTAGATACACAGGGAAAACATACTTCCCAGGGCCTTAAGAAGGTCTACATATTCAGCTTTGATGCTGTGAAATAATTATGAAACCTTGAAAAACTTGCAA